GTTCCCCGCGCTCTTCCTCAGTAAGGACATGGCGCATGTTCGTAATGTTCTTGCTTCGGAGGAAGTCGTGGCGGATCCGCAGAACAGCCTGAATGGCCCGAGCAGTCTCTTCCTGCGACGCATAGGCTGCGTCGCAGTCATCGCCAGGCTGAGGAGCACCAGCGTTTGTCCTCTTCATGAAAAGCAGAAGGCTGAGCTGATGGAGAAGTTTGGGGTCGTAGCTCTCCTCGTACATCTGCTCCCAGTACCCCCTCATCTCACGATGCACTTCCTGCGCGCGCTGATGAACTTCATCGTCAAGCTCGTTGCGCTGCGGCGAAGGCGAGCGGCCTGGCATGGGTTGCCATTCTGGCGAAGGAGAACGGCTTGGCAAGGGTTCCCAGTCGACTTCAGTTTCGGCTTTGTCTGAAGCAGCATCGGAGACGACGAAATCTCCTAAGGCAATCTTCCGCTTCTTTGTCTCCTTAGGCTGAGAAGCACCAGGGGGAGTAATGGTGATTGCAACAGCATCGTGGGAATCGTTGCGCATGCCACGGTCCTGGCACGATGCGCCAACAGCGATGGGCTTGAACTGCGCAGTGGCCCCAGAGACCGCCACGCTGTCACCTTGGCGATCACTTGGGTGCGCAAACACATCCCACAACTGCTCGTCATCGGTGTGGCGCTGCAGAGCAACGCGGGTCTGCGTGGACGTCAGGTTGTTGTCGCCGACAATGACGCGGACAACTGGTGCGTCCACTTGCGGACCTGGAAGGCTGTCCAGGTAGAGTCGGAGGAGCCTGGCCGCGCGTTGTTTGGTCAGCACCGACGGCGGCTTCGCTCCGCAAACGATGTGCAAGTTGGCAGTAATCGAATGAATTCTACCATGGCCTTCTATTTGCACATCGAACCGTGTGATCGCCGCGTCCACATGTCTCCCGATTGGGATGTGATGGATATGCTTGTCTCCCTGCAGGGAAACATCGACAGGCTGAGAAGCACCGCCGAATCCCCACAGGCATAGGTAGTTGTCAACCTCGGAGAAACAGACATTGTCGCCAAACGGTTTCGTCAGGATGTCTGCCGCGTCAGCCATCGCTTTGCTGAGGCCTTGCCGAACCGCACCGACTTCGCAAGCAAACAACAGATCAGCATCACCGTCCTGGACGATTGTGGCGCACACGCGGGCAAAGTTGGAGAAGTGAGCGCCAGCCCTTTTCCCAGTCATCATATTCTGATCGAATCCGAAGCTGAAGGAGGCGATCGTGAAAGACGCAGGCTGAGAAACGCAGCGACCAGTGGCGACCGCGGGCTCCTGTCGGCTTTCGTTCGCAGGCTGAGAAGCACCACGAGAAGCTGACGCTGAAGATGCCATCGCGAGACTGGCGCCTTTTCACCACAGAAGAGTACCGTGGCAAAAACTCTGTAAGCCAAAGACAGCTATCAAAAGCAAAAAGGAACATGAGGAGTCCATATGCTATCTTCTGATCCCACTAGAAAGCTATCAGCAAAAGCTGTTCGGTCTACTACTACTACTACTACTACTACTACTACTACTACTACTACTACTACTACTACTACTACTACTACTACTACTACTACTACTACTACTACTACTACTACTACTACTACTACTACTACTACTACTACTACTACTACTACTACTACTACTACTACTACTACTACTACTACTAGTACTACTACTACTACTACTACTACTACTACTACTACTACTACTACTACTACTACTACTACTACTACTACTACTACTACTACTACTACTACTACTACTACTACTACTACTACTACTACTACTACTACTACTACTACTACTACTACTACTACTACTACTACTACTACTACTACTACTACTACGACTACTACGACTACTACTACTACTACTACTACTACTACTACTACTACTACTACTACTACTACTACTACTACTACTACTACTACGACTACTACTACTACTACTACTACTACTACTACTACTACTACTACTACTACTACTACTACTACTACTACTACTACTACTACTACTACTACTACTACTACTACTACTACTACTACTACTACTACTACTACTACTACTACTACTACTACTACTACTACTACTACTACTCTACGAGTAGAAGGGAGAAGGGAAAGGACGGAGAGGGAGGGCTCGGAGACCCTTGGAGGGGGGGATGTGCCCATCCGAAGGAACGGTGCACCCCCCCCTCCCCGTCGTCAATTCGAGGGAGCCAGCCATGGCAACGACCCCCCTCCTATCCCCCCGCGACCTGAGTAGACCACCCAGGCCAGCGGAGGACGTCATAGGAGGCAAGGGTTCTGACGTCGACGAGAGAAGAAAAAGGAGGAGCGAGTAGAAGGAGGAGGAAAGGCGTACGAGTACTACTACGACTACAATGGCGTGTTCTCCACAATGCGTCCCGGGAATGGAGTTCTGGGAGGTGGAAGAGCAGGAAGTGGCGTGCAGTTGGCTCCGGGCATCCAGAATGTGCACCAGGAGTGGCAGGAGTGGCATTCGGCGATGGCGCTCGGGGCAGTCGAAGAGCACGAAGTGGCCTACAGTTGGCTCCGGGCATTCAGAATGTGGCCCGGGAATGGTGTTCTGGGAAATCGAAGAGCACGAAGTGGCCTACAGTTGGCTCTGGGCATTCAGAATGTGGCCCGGGAGCGGTGTTCTGGGAAGTCGAAGAGCACGAAGTGGCCTAGAGTTGGCTCCGGGCATTCAAAATGTGGCCCGGGAATGGTGTTCTGGGAACTCGAAGAGCACGAAGTGTGTGACTGTTGCGTCCGGTTATTCAAAATGTGGCCCGGGAATGGAGTTCTGGGAAGTCGAAGAGCACGAAGTGTGTGACTGTTGGCGAAAAACGAGCCCGGTTCGTCCGCCCGGCGTCCGCCCGGCAGCTCGCCGACATCCGCCCAGACCCCCCTGTGGAGTAAGCTGCTGCCCTCTTTTGATCTTACTAGAAACCTATCAGTCTACGCTGTTAGGTAACAAACGCAACAAATATCCAAACATAGTCAAATACATAATAGAATTAGCCTGGCGAAGTACCCAACCATATGCAGTTGTGAGGACCGCAGTTGTGAATATCTTCTTCGCTGGCGCTCCCTATGGGGCCACGAAGCGCTGTACTGGGTGGGTGAAACGCAGGGACAAGGGCTGTATGGGGCGGTGGCGGACGCATGCGGGCGGTGCCACTGGGACCTTCCGTGGAGCTCCCAATGGGGCCACGAAGCGCTGTACTGGGTGGGTGAACCGCAGGGAGCAAGGGCTGTGCTGGGTGGTGGCGGACGCATGCGGGCGGTGCCACTGGGACCTTCGGTAGAGCCCCTTTTTATGGGGCCACGCAGCGCTGTACAGGGTGGGTGAACCGCAGGGAGCAAGGGCTGTGCTGGGTGGTGGCGGACGCATGCGGGCGGTGCCACTGGGACCTTCGGTGGAGCCCCCTTTTATGGGGCCACGAAACGCCTACCGTACTGTGTGGGTGAAACGAAGGGAGAAATGGCTGTACTGGGTGGTGGCGGACGCATGCGGGCGGTGCCAGAGGGACCTTCGGTGGAGCTCGCTAGGGCCACGGAACGCTGTACTGGGCGGGTGAAACGCAGGGAGCAAGGGCTGATCTGGGTGGTGGCGGACGCATGCGGGCGGTGCCACTGGGACCTTCGGTAGAGCCCCTTTTTTTATGGGGCCACGAAACGCTGTATTGGGTGGGTGGAACGCAACGACCAACGGCCGAGTTAGGTGGTGGCGGACGCATGCGGGCGGTGCCACTGGGACCTTCGGTAGAGCCCCTTTCTATGGGGCCACGAAACGATGTACTGGGCGGGTGAAACGATAGGAGCAATGGCTGTACTGAGTGGTGGCGGACGCATCCGGGCGGTGCCACTGGGACCTTCGGTGGACCTCCCTATGGGGCCACGAAATGCAATATTGGGTGGGTGGAACGCAAAGAGCCACGGCTGTGCTGGGTGTTGGCGGACGCATGCGGGCGGTGCCACTGGGACCTTCGGTGGAGCTCCCTATGGGGCCACGAAGTGCTGTACTGGGTGGGTGAAACGCAAAGAGCAAGGGCTGTGTGTGGGACGCATGCAGATGGTCCCACTGGGTGCTTCGGTGGAGTTCTCTATGGGGCCACGAAGCGCTGTGCTGGGTGGGAGAAACGCATGGAGAGAGGAGGAGGGAAGGGAGGAGGGGGAGGAGGAGGAGAGGAGACGAGGAACGCGGGGACCGTCTCTTCAAAACGAAGACCCAATACCACAGGATGGTTGGAAAAAATCGTCCCAAAACTCTTTCGCTGTTTGGGATATTCCTCCTGTGGAGGGACAGACCCGACTTAAGGGTACACTCGGCTCCCTTGACTTGCCACCGCATGAGTCCGAACACCATAACAGTCCTAGCATTGAGGTAAACATGTGTTTAACATGTCTTAAATATGCCCTACAAATATTACACATGTTGTTTTACGTGTGTAAGACATGCTTATTGACATCTGGGAATACTTCGGCACCTTGCTCAACTCAAGATAGAATTGACAGGGTAGACCCGGCCCCCATGACTTGCCACCGAACGAGTCTCTGCTCTCCTCTTCTAGCAGGGACCGACCGGCCCGGCATTCCAGTAGGCCTACCACGAAATGTTCTTAGACCCCAGAAGTGCTCACAGAACAATGCACCCTTCTTGGAACATGAGCCTGAAGTGCTGAAACAAGACCATCTGAGCCAGACATGTTCTAAGAACATGTCGTGCAGACCACAAACGGTTCTTAGAACATGTTTTGGTACACGTCGTTCACGTCCAATCGTGCTCATTACTAATGGTGCTCCTTTCGAATTCTTCCTGGCCGCCTAGTGGCCATGAAGAGGCCCAGGATAGAACGATCAGAAATGAAAGGATCCTGGCCCCCCAAAAAACCAAAGACCCTTCGAATACTCAGAAATCAACCGTGTGTAGGCGCCTATGAGCAAACCGGGACGCTTCGCCGCTGCTTCACCTCTGCCCCGAGCTCCTCGCGCACGCCCGCCACCCAGGAGCGCAGGCCGCCGAGCCTCCCCGCCACCGCGGCGAGGAGCGCCGCGCCGAGCTGCGCCTCGCGCTCCGCCAGGGCCGCGGCGAGCGCCGCCCGGGGGCCCGCCACGTCCACCTCCCAGGGCCACAGGAGGCAGCTGCTGGGAGGTCTTCGTCGGAAGGATGATGAGAAGGATTACAGTCAACCAGCACAGTAAGGATGCATGATAAGCACGCAAGGGCCTCGGACGCCCATGTCGAAGCTGATAAGCATGCAAGGGCCTCGGACGCCCATGTCGAAGCTTTGCGCGGCAAGCGAAAGCGGCGAAGGATGGACCGAGGCGGCGAGGATGCAAGGGTACCCTTGGGAAAGTTGCCCATCCTTGCTATCATGGTTGACTGGCAGCCCCACTGGGGGGGGCTGCTACGCCAGATAGGCCGCGGACTGCGCAGGATTCAGCCGGATTGAGCGGGACTGAGCTGGCTCAAGCGGGATGAAGCAGAGTGCAGCCAGATCTCGGACCAGGGCAAAATCAGAACTTGACCTCCCAGGAGCTGCAACCGAACCAAGGCCAAGCGCACGGCGAGGTTGCATTCGGCAGGTTCGCGCTGTGTCGACCTGGGCGTTGGTTCCTGACGCCGAGGGGATCGCTCAACCTTGAACGATCGGCCCTTTCCGCAGCGTCCGATCGTTCAACATCGACCGATTCTGGGCCGCCGCCTGCGTTCAACGTGGAACGCTGGCGTCGGGGTCGCCGCCGGTCGACACGACGCGAACCTACCGTGCAGCGGAGGCCAGTTCGCAAGAAACCTTCCACAGTAAACCATACCCTGAGACCCCAGGACGCCCATGGACCTTCGGTATGGGAACGTCACGCTTTCCATAGCAAAGCCATCGAAACCCAAGAAGCCCAGGGCACCCTGGAGGCAAGCAGGGTGCTTCTTGGGATAGGTCTCCACTGTTGTAGGAGATCAAGAACCACACTTGCATACAATTCCCATGTGTGAAGGAATCGAACGAAGACGGCACAGCGAATGGTAGGAAAGCACAGAAGCCACACGTTGCCACAAATACCGAAACCTACATCGCCGTTGTCTACATCGCCGTTAGCCCGTCTACGGACCTCCAGGGCCGCCAACTCGATGACCTCCGGCATCGCGCGTAGCTCCGAGAGCTCGCTCCTGTGCTTCGGAGGACGAAGACATACCCATACCTGTACCCCTGACCCGCTTTCCCCTTTTCGGGGCCTCCTGGGGGGCCCCCGTCGTCACGGCTGGATTCGCCTAGAGAACGCACCCCGGGAGAGGTCCAGGGAGTAGCGGTATCGGGATCTTGTGGCTTCCTCGGTGCCTAGCTGGCCCGTTATGCAACACGCAACCTGTAGCGTGTTGCCACGGAGCTCGACGCGGAGATGCAACACGTACTCTTGGCGCGATACGTTCGCCAAAACGTGGGGCCAAACACGAGCCGATCCAGCACGCTGGGTGTCCGCACGGACGTTTTGAACACGGTTACTCCAGATCCCTCATTAATCGCCCCCCGGGTCCGGCTTTCTAAGGCGCCCTCTTTGTAACTGGGGGGGTCCGGATTACAGGGGCGCGTTCCGTGGATTGGAGCCTTTTGGGGTCCAGGGTCTTGCGGCGCCCCGTCGAAGGGGGGGGGGTCCGGAATCTCAGGTCGCATCTGGAGGGGGGTCCGGCTTTTTAAAGGGATTTGGATGAATAAATGGTTTGGGATACTCCAGATTTCGTAATAAAGGGAGGGGGGTCTCATTTCGAGGGGGGGTCTCTTCCAGGCTATCTTGGAGGGCCTGGGGTGGTCTGGGGACGATGTTTTGGAGGGTTCTCCCACGGGGGAGGGTCTGAAATGGCTTGTCTTGGAGGGTCCAGACCCTGTCCCTTCTATTACGAAATCTGGAGTAAATGGTTTGGGATACGTGCTGCGCTTCAAATCGAGCGGTCAGCTCCTGAGGTCGCGGAGCACGCGGTCGAGCCCGGCAGGCCCGTCGCCCTCCAGGGTGACCACCACCTGAGAGGACGACGCACACAAACCATGAGGCCTGGCCTTATAGGTCGGGCATACCTTCCTACAGGCGGAGTCTGAACGTTTTTTTGCTTGCTTAAGATGAAGGGGCCCTGGGACACACCAATAAATACACACAAATGAAAGGATTCCCAATATTTTCCCATATTTTCTGGGTTTCTGCCCTCCCCCCAACTTCCCATATGTTCCTATATTTTCCTGGGAGTGGACGACTCATTGTGTCTGTGTGCTTTTTCCCCCTCCTGATGAGAAGCGCAAGGAACCAAGCATATGGTATCAAAACTACCAAAACCGTCCCAGGACCATGATCGGACTATTTGTGGATACCCCTCCTGCAACGGGACAGGCCCGACCTACGCCCTGCGCGAGCAGCCGTGGCGCCCGGACGCACCGCGCCCGGCGCGGCCCGCCAGCACGGCACGTCGCGCGGCGGAGGGTGCGCTCCCACGCGGCCTCGCGCGGGCAGCTTTTCCGCGCGAACGTCCGCGCCATCGACCAGGGCTGCACCTAAATGTTGTGTTTCGGTTCGGTGTCGTTCTGTTTCGTTTCGCTCGACCTGCTTTTTCCTGTACCTCCCTGCCAGAACGAAGATCAAAGCACGGCCGAAGTCCAGCATCACAGCGTCTGGTTCCTGTTCTTGCGTCCCCCACCTCGTCTGATTGACCAACAAAGGACCCCTACGCCTTTGGGAGGGAACCCAAGTTGGGCGGGCCAGAAACCATGAGGGATAGGGGCTCTGTTCTGCACCGCCCAGATGTACTATTCTCCCTAACACATAGAGGGGGACCTCAATGAGGCCACGTCTTCACCGTGATATCAAGGTTTTGGGGGCTCTTCCATTCTCCCTGATCACCTGCTCCTCCGCGCTCGTGGCCGCAACGGCTCGGGTGTTGCCAGAAGTACCCCTGGGCCAAGGTGCCCCCAGCTTTTCGTCTCCCTTGGAGCCTCTGGGGCCCTCTGGGCCTCGTGAAGGGGTGCTTTGGAGGCCGTTTGTGAAGGGGCCCTGGGACACACACATAAATAGACACAAAGGACAGGATCCCCCATATGTTCTGGGTTTTTGTCTTGCCCCCCACTTCTCATATCTTCCCATATTTTCTGGGGAATCGACGAGTAGTAGTGTCTGTGTGTGTTTTCCCCTCCCGAGTTTGGGTTGCCCCGAGAATCCTGGGGGCACCTTGGCCCAGGGGCACTTATAAGCAACATCCGCGATGGCGCGGCCGCGCTCCAGGAAGGGGCGGAACCTGCGGAGCTCCCCGCGCGCCTGCGGGGGGGGGGGGGAGCACGGGACAGGCACCGACGCCGCGGCGCCCCACAGGTGCACGCCAGGTGAAAGGGAGCAACCCTGCAGCCAGATATGCGAGGGTGGGCAGAAACCCTCCTGACTCCAGTGGGAGGGGGCAACTCTGCAGCAAGATATTCGAGGGTGGGCAGCAACCCTCCTGTAGCAAACCGCCTGTCAGTGAAAGCTACCACTAGACGAGCGCGCTCCACGACATACTCGCAGCGGGGGGGCTACGATCCGTTACACAAAAGGAAGCCCTGTTTTTGTTCGGACGTTTGCGAGTAGGCACTTTGCGAGTAGTAGAACGAACTCGGTGAACCTGGGGCACTCCACGTGCGCACGGAACCGCAATCCGAGTGCAACCCAGCGGGGTAGCTCATGAACGTCGACAAACAACCGAGCGTACCGAGCGAAATGTCACACGTCGATTAGCGAACCCGACTGAGGACAGCACGGGCACACTCGAGTGCCAATGTCAAGTGAACCAGTGCAGACTTTCTCGGTCGACCTGTCTGAATGGGCGTTCTCTTAGTGTCCGAAACAATAACAATGCCCTATATATTACAAAAACAAGTTCCCCCCTCCACCCCCAGGCCTTGACCTTGGCAAATCTTGCGCTCGAGATAATTGGACCGACACACTTCCCGCCCCGCATCTCCGGGCACGCTTGTTCAATGTAAAAGCCCACGGGCGGAGGGGAGCCATGCAAAGTGGTCCCTACACGTTTGTTGGAAAATGTTGTTTCATCCACGGTCTGACCAGGACCCCGAGACGAATCCAGCCGCGGCGCCGAGGGTTCCCGCAGCAGGCCCAGCCCAACTGCGGCAGCGCAGGGCAAAGGCCAGTGGCACCGTCACGTGCTCCTCCCCCCGAGCCTCGTCGAACTGGGCGCCGACGAGGCTGCGGAGCTGGCCCACTCCGCTGGCCCACTCCGGCCGCCTCCCCAGCTCCTCCGGCCCACCGCACGGGCGGCGCCCCTGGGCCCCCGCTGCCCGCAGCCGCTCGAAGACCCTCCGCATCTGCGCGAGCTCCACGTCCCGCTGCATCGTCCTGAGGAGGAGGAGGAGGAGGAGGAGGAGGAGGAGGAGGAGGAGGAGGAGGACGAGGGTATGGGGAGGAGGAGGAGGAGGACGAGGGGTATGGGGAGGAGGAGGAGGAGGAGGAGGAGGAGACGAGCGTAGAGGGAGTCCCAAGGAGGAGGAGGAGGAGGAGGAGGAGGAGGAGGAGGAGGAGGAGGAGGTGGGGCAGGCAGGCAGGCGGTCTGGTCGAGTCACTGCTTTGCCCAGGATCGGGCGCGACTGTGCTGAACCTCAGCACTACTCTTGGAGCGTGGGTGAAACATGCGCGAAGTCTTCTTCGTGCTCGAGAAAGTCCTTATCTACACCCATGTCCTACCAGTCGGTCCTGGGGCGGGGGGGCAAACCTGCTTAGGGAGGGAGCCCAGAGAAGACGCACGCTCCCAACCATGTGCACGAACACGGCCCCCCGATCCGAGAGACCGGCCGCGGGATGCGGACGTTCGCGCAATGCGTACCCTCGCAACCCGCATGTATTCATGTACGTGGACGTCCTTTTCGCCCCTGAATAACGGCGTGAATATAGGAGAGCCCATAGTCGAATCGATTCATCGGATCGGCGATCGAAATGAATCGAATCGGCGGAAATCGGCAGCCGAGTCGGGAAAAGTCGAATCGGCGGAAACCGGCGGGCTAGTAGGCCTCCAGTAAGGAATCGGAGCCCAAATGGGAATCCGAAGTCGAACCGAATCGGAATCGGAATCCATCGAAGTCGAATCGAGTCGAACTGGAGGAATCGAAACGAGCTCTGACTTGCCGACACCCGTGCGGATCTCTTGGGTCGGCGCTGGGCCACCCTGGCGGGCGCCTCCGGCGGCGCAGCGGGCGCGCAAAAAACAGCGCGCCAGGCAGCGGGGCCCCCAGCGCCGATCCATGAACTCCGCGCGGGCCTCCAGAAACCTATGAATGCGCCGATTTGCTGTTGCGGTTGTTGCTGTTGTTGTGGTTGTTGCTGTTGCTGTGGTTGTCGTTGCTGGTGTCTTGTTGTTGTTGGTGCTGGTGCTGGTGCTGGTGTTAGTGTTGCTGCTGTTAATGTTGTTGTTGATGTTGCTGTTGTAATTGTTGTTGTTGTGGTTGTTGTGGTTGTGGTTGTGGTTGTGGTTGAGGTTGTGGTTGTGGTTGTTGTTGTTGCTGTTGGTGGTGTTCGTGTTGTTCCTGTTGATGTGGTTGTGGCTGTGGTCGCTGTTGCTGGTGTGGTTGCTGTTGCAGTTGTTGCTGTTCTGTGTCGAAACAAGCAGACCACAAAGGAACAGAGGGGCCGACATACCTCAGAGATCTCATGGCCCTGGCCCAGCCATGGCCCCCCAAATTCAAAGAAGTAGCAGCCCCCCCCCCGGTCCTCAGCCTCTCTCAGAATGCCTCCGAGTTGGGGCCAGAGTAGATGGGGTCGAGGGGTCGCGTCGCCTCGTCGATGCATCGGCGACGTCGGCGAGATATGCCAGCGGCGTTGGCACAGATAACATCGGGCTTCACATCAAGCCGCATCGCCGGCGCATCGGCGATGCGGCGCGAACCCGCGACACCATCCAATTACTCAGGCCTGGCATATTCCCCCTCTTGGACGCCGCCAGACACTTGAGGGTCCCAGACGATGCGGCGACAGACCGCGCGGTAACCTCGGCATCCCCGAAGACCTCACCGCAAGATTCGTCACCGCACCGTCTTGGGGCCCTGGATGATGGGCTTCTTTTCCACCATCACCACCATGAGTAGGAGGGGGAGGGGGTCTTCCTCTCCCTCCTCCTCCTCCTCCTCCTCCTCCTCCTCTTCGTCCTCCTCCTCCTCACCCTCTACATCCTTCCCCCTCCGACTTATGGTGGTGGTGGTGGCTAACAGCCCCACCACTGGAGGCCCCAGTCATCCCAGACCTCCTCGGAGAGCGACCCATGTCCTGAGACCGTGCAGCTCCGAATCCCCACTGGGTCGCCCCACGGCGTGGTCACCGCTCGGAGGCCGCGGGGGTGTCTGAGATCGAATAAACCCTGGTGAACGTCAGACAAGAGGATGGATGACCCAGACATCTGGCGTGTCGCTTGGTTCGACATGGGGGCCCACGATCTCTCGACCACTTCCCTGGCACCGCTTTGCATCCCGCGTCGTTTTCCGACGGCCCCGCGACGAGGCCCAGGAAGGGCCCCGAGATGCGGAAAACCATGAAAAAACCGCGGTCTCGATCTTTCGAGGCGCCCAATGTCTTCGGGGGGCAACTTGGGTCAAGATCGGTCCGAACCCCCCTCGCGGGGTCAAACCGGACACAACTTTTGCTAGCTGCGCCGGGGCCGTATATCGACGAGCGGGCCCCTTTCTCCCCCCGTTCCGCCGGCGAGAACCCGTGCTGGGCCACCTCGGACCCACAGCCGGCCCACCGCACCGATCCCGGACCCCGCCGTCGCGATTCTGCACCAGCGTTAGGTCGGGCCTGTCTTCCTACAGGCGGACCTTGTAGGAACAGTTGAAAATAGGAAAACGATACTTATTAAACATTTTTGAACTAATTTAAAATCGTCCTTTGACCATTCTTGCTTGTGTACAGATCTTCCTCCTGTAGAGGGAATACTTTTTAACACTTCGAAGTAATTAAACATCGTCCCTTGACCATTCTTGCTTGTGTATAGATCTTCCTCCTGTGGAGGGACATGCCCGACTCGACACCCGCGGCGAGAATGCCAGTCTCCGCGCTCTCGCCCGTCCGCACTCCGGGGATCGCGATGCCGCGGAGACGCGGTCGCACGGACGGACACCGTGGGGGACCGACCACAAGAAAGCCCCCCCGAGAGACCCAAACCCGAGACCCCAGGGAGTCTACTCCAGATCTCGTAATAAAAGGGAGGGGGTCTGGACCCTCCAAGACAAGCCATTTCAGACCCCCCCCGTGGGAGAACCCTCCAAAACATCGTCCCCAGACCCCCCCAGGCCCTCGAAGATAGCCTGGGAGAGACCCCCCCCCGAAATGAGACCCCCTCCCTTTTATTACGAAATCTGGAGTATCGTCTTTTGGCCTGGGAGAGTCGCGCGCGCCATGGCAAACCCATCGAAGCCCAAGACACTCAGGGCACCCTGGAGGCAAGCAGGGCGGTTCTTGGCAGGGGGGGAACGAAAGGGGGGTATAGCAAAGGGTAGGGCAGAGAATCAGCTCACGTAGCTGATTTTCCCAGGCCTCCCGGCGCCGGGAGGCGCCCCTGTATCGAGGAATGGGCCCGAAGTCGAAGTCACCTATCTCCCCCCTTTCGTTCGGCCCGACATTGGCATGAGCCTCCACTGTCCGCTCCGTGCGGGGCATCCACGAACAAAAAAAACGCCCCGCAAAGGGATCCGCGGGGTCGCGGAACCCAGGGGCCGAGACTGCGAGGCCCAGGATACGAGCATACGGCTTGGGCAATGAATAAGGGACCCTTGGATAAGGAATCCAGGGTCTGGAAGCCAGTGGAACTCCAATCGTGCATCGACCGCGGATATCACCGCCGCCCACGTCGGATAAGGAATTCTCCAGGGTATGGCGCATCCTGGGACTATTCCCTCACAAACGCCTGCACCGTATGCTTTTCGCCCACCGACCTCTTGCATGATGTGGGCCCCCAGCGGTCTGGCCCCTTCCCTCGGACTGGATGCGGCGGCGGGGGCATTGGATAAGGAACCACTGGATGAGGCATCCAGGGTCTGGAAGCCGGTGGAACTCCAATTACCTTAAGGGGGCCCTTTAGGACCCTTTTTGAGCACCCGCTGGCCCCAAAAATTCACCCTTTTTGAGCACCCGCTGGCCCCAAAAGTTCTTCACCCCCCATGTGGGCCACCCCCCATTACCACACGCCCGAGGGGCGTCCAATCTTCAACTGCGACATCTTGGCGCGGGACGACGACGACGCCGACGACGACGACGCCGAGGCCGAGGCCGACGCCGACGCCGACGACGACGCCGACGCCGACGTCGACGCCGACGCCGATGACGCCGACGACGACAACGACGACGACGCCGACGCCAACGACGACGACGCCGACGCCGACGCCGACGCCGACAACCGACGACGTCGACGACGACAACGACGGCGCCCCCGAAGTCCTCCGCTCTGGCTCGCCGAGCTCCGGGCCGTCGCCGCCGTCGGAGGCCTCGAGGGCCGCAGCAAGGCCGCCGCACGGTGCGGGCCGCGCGGGGCCCCCGGGCGCGCCCCCGAGCGGCCCCAGCAGCGCCGCGAAGGGCGCCAGGCCGCTGCAGCCCTCGAGGAGCTCGACCGCCCCGGCCACCCTCCAGGAGCGCGGGACGAGGGGGGACGAGGAGCCACGAGGAGGAGGAGGAGGAGGAGGAGGAGGAGGAGGAGGAGGAGGAGGAGGAGGAGGAGGAGGAGGAGGAGGAGGAGGAGGAGGAGTCGCGAGCCCATAGGGCGACGCGCCAGGTACCATACGGGAGGGGCAGGAGCGGTGGGAAAAGACGAGCGAGCGCAATCGAGCACAGAAAACCAGCGGGCCCCAGGGCACTGTTAGCCCAGCCGAAGCATCACAGCAGTGACAGGAGGTCCCACGAAAAGAGCCCAGGATCGGCCAAACCGAACTCCCAGGACATGAAACGAGTTTCGAAAGAAATCTCGAGACATATGTATTAAATGGATAACAGGCCTGGCCACTGGACAGCATCGTCCGTGACCAACAGCCTGCGAGGGAGGGGGGGAGGGGGGAACAGCCTCCCTTAGGGTCGACGCCCTTCATAAAATTATCCCTCCTCCACTTACGCTGGGGATTCCCCTCAAGGGCAGCCTCGGGAGGAGGAGGAAGAGGAGGAGGAGGAGGAGAAGGAGGAGGAGGAGGAAGAGAAGAAGGAGAAGGAGGAGGAGGAGGAGGAGGCGGAGGAGGAGGAGGAGGAGAGGGAGGAGGAGGTGGAGGAGGAGGAGGAGGAGAAGGAGGAGGAAGAGGCGGAGGCGGAGGAGGAAGAGGAGGAGAAGGGAAAGGAGGATGAGGAGGAGGAGGAGGAGGGAGCTGGAGGAGAGGGAGGCGGAGCGAGGAGGATGAGGAGGAGGAGGCTTGCAAACGCCACGATTATCCGATGTGGGTCCGCGCAACGTCAAAAAAAAAGGAGGTGGAGGAGGACCAGTGCAAACGCAAGACTCACCAACGATGTTGGAATACGCCCTCCGTCCAAGCTTCCTCTTCATATGCCCCTTTCAAGGGGTCGATTCCACTGAGGGAATTGATAGGAGATTGGCCCGTCAAGATACGCTCTCGAGGTTTCAGAAGTGTCCAGCGGCCCTCGTCTCGGAAGCCCGTGCGGAACCGTATTGGTAATTTGGGATACCGTCGACATGTTCCAGGATAGCTCGTGGCGATCTAAGTGGGTTTCAGATTATTAGCCGGCAGCGCTGGGTGCCACGCCAGCTCTTTCTGGCGCCGGTCAGGCAACGTCGCAGCAAGTTGCTTGACCCTCCAGCGTGTTCCAGACAGCTTTGTCATACTCGTTCCCAATACGCGTGCCGGAAACCTTTCCGCAGCACTTTCGAAGATCCTTGGGAGCTCCTGCGCAGCTCTCTTTCCAAAGCTTGCAAGCGCCCCGGGCCCCTTTTCCAGCGAGCTTGCAAGCGTCCCCCACAAGCGTGCCACGCGCTTTGGACTGCGTCGTTATCCTGGTTCTGGACGCCAGAAGTTGCAAATTTGGAAGGCATCATGATCACTGCTTCTTGCTCCTCTGAGAAGATGGGGGGCCGAAGGAGGAAGAGAAGGACGAGGAGGAGTAGGAGAAGAGAAAAGGGAGGAGGAGGAGGAGGGGGAAGAGGAGAAGGAGGAGGACCTCTCCATCCCCTCTTCTCCCCCGTCCTACCAACGGTAATTAAGGGTGGTGGGAACCCAGACCCCCGACGTCATGACTTTTCACAACGTCGACCCCCAAATCTGGAGTCCTTCCCAGGGACCGGTCTTTCATCCCGTGCCGTTTTTGTCGACGTTCCCGAGCCCCAGTAAGGGCCCATGGAGGCCGAGAATAAGGAAAAACCTCCCGTCGCGGTTTTTGTCGCAACGCCAGGGGGGTGTCTGGGGAGCCAGCCCCCCGCTCCCTGTCGTGCTGCCCATGACCTCAGCCCCTCCCGCGCGGCGTCGACGACTGCGTCCTCGAGCTCGCGCCTGTCCCGGCAGTGCAAAGGGCGTCACCGCCTATGGGTGCCGCCGCCCTCCTCCCGCGGCAAGGACCCCCTTTGGACACCCCGAGGGCCCCCACGGGGCTCCCAACAGGCGCCCCAGGAGCGCCCGATACCTCCTCAATCCTCAACCCTCCCTGCAGACGAAGCCAGGACGCGGATCAAATCGGGGGAGGAAGGATACATCGAGAATCTCTGAGATCCGGCGGTTCTGGAGGATGTCTCGGATGCCGCGGCCTTCTCAGAGCGTCCTAGAGCGCTCTGGGGCCGTTCCGGGACGCCCTGGAACGGATTCATCCTCGTCCTCGCACCGCCCGACCTCTTCCTGGGTCCTCGGCTCCCCAGAGGAGCCCGACGCGCGACGCCGTGATGCTGTCGATGCGCGGCCCGGGGTGTCCCCACCCTTTCCCTGCGGGGGCAGTTTCTTCGTGCGGATCCGGACCCAGACATGCGACGCGAGGTCCTGATCCTTTCAGGACGGCAATCCCTGGAAGCCCCGACCCTTCCCCCGGGACCGGTTTGTCATCCCGAGTCGTTTGTTGACGCTCCCGTGGCCCCGCGAGGGCCCCCCGAGGCCGAAAATGTCCAAAAACCTCCCCTCCTGATTTTTTTTTGCGATGCGATCATGTCTGGGGAGGGTTACGGGGCCCCAGAGGCCACGGGGCCCAGAGGTTTTCGTCTTCATGGTCACGGGGCCCCGTGGAAGCCGAGACAGAAGGAAACAACCGGGATCGAAGACGTCACACCGTCGTGGGTGGTGGCCCCCCTGCACCAGGAGCCCTTCCAAATTGGAGTGTGGTCCACCCTTCGGCAGGATGAGTCGAATCGATGCGTCGGACTAGCGATCGAAATAGGGGGCCACATGCGAACCCTACCCCTAACCCCCACCATTTCGAAGGGGAAGGGTGGGGACGAAGTGAACCCCACCCTCCCCCTCAGAAATCGTGGGGGGTGGGGGTAGGGCATCCATGTGTTCCTCTACCAAAACGATCAGATCGCCAGAAACCGGCAGCCAAGTCGGGAGAAACCACGGCGGAAACTGGCTGGATATAGTAAGACCTCGACTGAGAAACGAGAGTCCGCATCAGAATCCGAAGTCAAGTCGAAGCGGAAGCGGGAGCCATCGAAGACAAATCGAATCGAATCGGGGGGGTCGACACCCAGAACCCTGACGTCGCGTTAAGTCCACAACGTCGACCCCCCGAATTCTGGACCCCATTCCCGGGACCGCTCTTTAATACTGAGCCGTTCTTCAGCGGTCTGGAGGCCCGAGGCCGAGCATAGCGAAACCAATCCCATCGTGATTGTTTCACAGCGCGAGGGGGGTTGTGCTCGTGCCGACTTTCCGTCCTTCTGCTTCAAAGGGGCATCGGCCGCTTCTCTCAGCTGGGCACCCCTGGAATGCGCGAAGGGCCCAATCAGGCAGGACAAATCTAAGGCGGGGGGGCCACCACTAAGGTGGGTCACCAGAAACGTGAGGCCTCTCTTTGCGGGAACAGGCCCCCTTGGTCACTCCAAACGCCCACACCGAAAAAGAACGGACCGGGCGAGAAGACCCCGTCACACGGAGAAGTCTTCACCAGTCCCTCCCCCCTGCTCACAGCGGCCCTGAAGACCCCGTTGCTACCCAACCCAACCAACAACCGAGCAACCCAGCAACCTGCGGTTGCTGGGTTCCTCGATTGCCAAGGATTTCAAATTGAACTTTTACGAGTGAGACTCTAATAGGGAGGCTCCAATGCTGAGGCTCTACTACTGAGGCTCTACTACTGAGGCTCTACTGAGACTCCGCTATGGAAGCGTTCCGTTACTGAAACGATCCCTTACTGAGACGCTCCGTTACCGAAGCGCTCTGATACTGAGGCTGTGCTACTGCGGCTGTACCACTGAAACTCCACAACGGAGGCTCTACGACTGAGGGTCTACACTGCTAGGCGCTCCGTTACTCAGGCACTACTACTATGGTTATACTACTGAAGCCATACTACGGAGAGATTACGTTTGAGGCTCTACAGGTGAGGCCCTACTACTGACGCTCTACGACTGAGGCTGTTCAGCTGGCATTTTACTGGGGAGGCTCCACTGCTGAAAGTCTATTACTGTGGCTCTACGACGGAGGATATTCTACTGAGTCTCCACTACTGAAGCTCTACTGGTGAGGTTTTATTATTGAAGGATACGACTGACGCTCTGTTGATGAGACTCTACGACGGGGGCTATACGACTGAAGCTCTACTACTGAAGCTTCACTAATGAAACTTTACTACGGAAGCAATACTAGGGAAGTTCCAGTGCTGAGGATATCCGACTGAGGCTCTACGAATGAGGCTTTACTTTTGACGCTCTATTATTCAGACTCTGTTACTAAGGCCCTACAGAGGCTCAGCTACTGAAGCTCTACTACTTAAGCTTGACTACGAACGCGTTAAGGCGGATGGATGACTCTACTACTGAAACAGCTTTTCTGATGAGGTTTTGCTTGTGAAACTCTACTAGGGAGGCTCCACTACGGAAGCCCTCCGACTGAAGGCTCTTCGACCGAAGCTCTCCGAGTGAGGCTCTACCACGGAATCTGTACTGCGGAAACTCTACGACTGAGGCTCAACATGCGAAGTTCCACTCTGAACGCTCCACCACTGAGGCTCTACCGCTGCAGCTCTACGACTGAAGCTCTACTACTGGGGCTCGACTCGAAATACTCCACCACTGAAGCTCTGCTAGTCAAGCTCTACTAGGGAGGGTCTACTGTGGACGTTCAACGAGGGAAGCTCTAGGGAGGGTCTTTCATGGATGCTCCACTCGGACCGCTCTGCTACTGAGGCTCTACCCGGGAGGCTCTACTAGGGAGGCTCTACTACTGAGACTCTACAGGGGAGGCTCCACTACTGAGGCTCTACTCGTGGGCTTTCGGTGGTGCTCCCTGTGAAGCCACGATACGACTGTGCTGGGTAGGGGAAACGCATGCAGACACCGCCACCAAGGCCTTCGGTGGAACACGGCCACTGGGGCCTTCGATTGGGCTCCCTATGGGGCCACGAAGTGCTGTACTGGGTGGGGGTGACGCATGCGGGCGGTGCCACTGGGGCCTTCGATGGAGCTCACTATGGGGCCACGAAGCGCT